ATTATAAACAAATTGATGGTATAATGATGGATTAACTTCTAGGTCATATCCTTACTGATCTTTTTCATGCGAAACTAGGGAACCAATCTCTCATAGTGTTAATCCGTGAATAGACAAACATTAATTTTATGTGTTTTATTTTAATTTGTAAAATGAATTGGAAATTTTGAATATTACGTTTAATCGTAGATCGTGCGAATGATCCACCAGGGTACTTGGTACCTATGTGGTTGCGCCACAGGATTGAGCTGTGCTGTTCAGATTGTAGCGTTAAAGCCTATACAGTGTCTGGTTCTCCTATGAATCGGGATTGGGCTGTACTGTTCGGGTTACAAAATATAAGCCTAGGCGGTATCTGGCTCTCCTGTTAAGCGGGATTGAGCTGTATTGTTTGGGTTGTCACGTAAAAGTCTGGATGGTGTCTGGTTCTCCTGAAAACCTATGTAAAATTACCCTGGCCTACAAGAGTATATTGTGGAACTGTGTATAACTTAGTCGTAGATGACCGATGATAAAATCTGTTTCTTTGATTTACACAACACATTAAGACATTATATATCACTGGTCTTTTAGTAAACTTTGATAGAGACCAAACAACTGCAGTTTTTAAACATTTACTTGCAGAAAAATGTAAACAATTTACCAATCAAACTATATTTCACTATTTTTAGTCAATCTTTCTGGTGATTATATTGAACAATTCTGAACATCAGACCATATTTATAACTGGTAACTAAATAGTTCAACGTTAACAGTTTTTTTTCTTAAAATATGAATAGGGTTATTTATTAGTTAAGTATACGTGAAAACATTTGTCACTATAAAAAGATCGAAAATTTCAATAGGATGATTGTGTTGCCAGGAGTTTGACATTTCCTCAAATAATCAGATATTGATAAATAGCCATATTATAAATGGGTTCATCTGATTAGTACTTGTTCATTAGTTAATCAACAACTCTCTGTATGAATCAAATTGACAAACATTCCAAGATTAAACTAATTTAAATAGTTGAAATCATGTGTCAATTGAAGCTAGACCACCATGGAAAACCTGGAGGCACTGGACGGCCGTTTCGTCCTAGTATGGGACCCCTAGTGACTGACTTCAAGAGTCATTTCCTGGAGTTCTAGTGAGAAGCCGTTACCAATGGAGTTCAACCAGGTCCGTTGTGAGATATCAGCTCACTGAAGACAATGGTGTACGGTGGCGCAATTTTGTGGATTTGTTGAAGTTAGACATTAACACCGTTGCATACCGCCCCAGTGGTCTAATGGTTAAGCGCTCGCGCACGAGACTAATAGGTCCTTGGTTCAGATCTCGCGGGTGGTGGGATCGGGGACGTGCACTGCTGAGGAATCCCATTCTAGGATGAAACAGCCGTTCATTGCTTCCAGGTTTTCTATGGTTGTCTAGCTTCAATTAACTCATAATTTCAACCACTGAAACTATTAAAATCTCCACAAAACCCCCTATCTGATAAACTAATTTAATTTACAAATACAGCTGATTTTCTAAGTTATATATTTACTCCTTCATAACATATACCTTCTTATAGTCGAATAGTTATGAATATTCTTTTCAGTGATAAACTTGGTAAACAATTGTTTTCCTTCATAATACAATCATCCTTATTAAAAAAACATCCCAAGTAATGTTCATACAAGTTTTCAATTACTTTGTTGCGAAATGACATTAGCCTATTTTTGAACAGAATAGTGGCATCATATTTCCAACCAAACCTTATTTCAACTTATATTACTTTCATTTACTATGCTTGTGTTATTGTTGACATTTTACGGACACATTTTAAAGGAATAATGATAAATCTTTATCCGAAATATAACTAACTGCTGACTGTATATCAAATGTAAGAATAGAACAATTCAATTAGAACAAACTAGAGAAACCAAGATTTGAGCATTCGTATAGAGATTTAATTAAATGACGGAAGAACAGAAAACATCTTGTTTAGATAACTTTAAATAACTGCAATCAGTACTGAAATATAATAAAGTTTCTGCAGAAATTTTGTTAAGGAACTAAACGGCTTGATATATTCGTTTCACATCATTTTTACAACAAGAGCACAAACTCTGGAACCATTATTTAATTTCACATGGTATTGTTTGGATTGTATCTACCCATTGAGGTTTAAGACTACAATTGATCAGTCTGTTATTGGCATATGTGCATACTGTGCGTATGCCTCGATATTGCCTTAATTTATAAGCTTTTTGTAAGCAATGATGGATAGTGGCTAGCAGTGGCTATCAGGACTCAGTAGCTGAGTGGATAATACGATGGCGTTTGGAGCGAATGATACTAGGTCCGAGTCCCAGAGTGAACATCAACTCTGAGATGCAGGTACATCCAGCTGACGAGTCGCAAATAGAACGAAAGGCGCGTCCTGAATTCCACTGCTGGCGACTATCCATCACTGCTTACATTATTTAATTTGTCCAGTTTGCCCTTAAGGAAACCAGTTATATTATATCAGATTGAAGTCAGAATTAAAAACCTGATATTTAAACGTTGTTATCATTTACTGTGATATTGCCACACGAAAATTGACAAACCTCTACATTTAATATCTCAGTTAATTTCTATTGTAAGTCTTCTATTAGTTTTAATCATTATATGAACAATATGAATATATATATAATCGATAAATAGATGAATTTCCCCTATTTACACGCAATTCCCAATTGGTTATAATTTACTTTACTTATTATGTTAGTATTTAAACTGTTAGTTTGTTTTTTCATTTGACGAACAAAGGAAACGACAATTTCAAAAGAATAAATCACTTCTGTAATTTGATTAAAAGATTTAGTTAGAAGTGCATTTGAATAATCTCTGGCTGATGTTAAAATATTGATCTGAACCTAAGAGATTAGTATCACTTAACTACATCACCAGCAGCTAAATCATTTCTCTGAACTTTACTATAAATAAAGTATATAAATGGTATATTCAGATTGAAATGGATACTAAGATAAGATTTAACTCTAGGAACTCTGATATTGTTGAACTCTAAGGTTAAATTGAGTTTCATTTAGGAAAATGTGAATTCCATGAACTAGTGATTCATCAAATTAATATTATTTTCAGAAGCAGGTTTTGTGGAGAAATTAGTAATTTAATAGTTGAATTCATGAGTCAGTTACAGCTAGACCACCATGGGAAGCCTGGAAGCACTGGACGGCCGTTTCGTCCTTGTGTGGGACTGCTCAACAGTGAACATCTAAAATCCTCTCTCGGGATTCGAACCCAGGACCTATCGGTCAACTCACTAGTGTACAGGTTAAGCGTTCGAGCACGAGACTATGAAACCACCATCCAGTGCTACCAGATTTTCCATGGTTATCTAACTTCAAATGACAAATGAATTGAACTATTGAATTAATCTTTCACAAACAAAATCATCTATGTTAACACTCCTCTTCATATTATGACATTTAAACTTTACCACCGAGCTAACTAGACAAAATATCTTTGTTCTCTTGTTTGTTTACATTTCAACAATGACTGATATTATTCACTACTGAGATCAATTTGTGTTCACATCAGAAATGTGTACAGTCACTTGAATGAGTTTCACAAATAAATGAGTAAAATATTTATTGATAAAAACAGTTCTCATCTCTTATTGTGTTTGTTGCTAACATCGAAATATAGTATGCACTTATCATCTATTTAGTTATAATAGTATGTACATGACGTTCCTGATTTCAAGTCCTGTATACAGGATAGTGAGTGTACACTACCTAGGAATCCCATACTATGAAGAAACGATCATACATTGACTCATCCATTCAACTGTTGAAATTACTACAATCTCCATAAATCCCCTTACATATATGAATATCATTTATATTAATCAATAATGATTTAAACTGACGTTTTAACTAACTTGTAGTCATTTTTGTATGCACAAGAAAAAAGTGTTACCAACATATGTAGAATATTATAAATAAATGTTATTTTCAGGAGGGGTTTGTGGAGATTTCAGAAATTTCACAGATTGAAATCATGAGTCAACTGAAGCTAGACCACCATGGAAAATCTGGGAGCACTGAACGGCAGTCTCGTTCTAGTATGGGACTTTTCATCAGTGCGCATCCACGATCCCGCACCCCGCGGGATTCGAACCCATGACCCATCAGTCTCGCGCCAGGCGCCTGACCAACTAGATCACTGAGCCGGCCGGTATCCAACGGTGTTAATGTCTAACTCCAACCAATCTACGAAGTTGCGCCACCGTATACCATTGTCTTCAGTGAGCTGATATCTCACAACAGACCTGGATGAACTCCATTGGTAACGGCTTCTCACTAGAATTCCAGGAGTATCTCTTGAAGTCAGTCACTAGTGAGCAGGTGATTATTATTATCAGAAGGAGTTTTTGGAGATTTTAGAAATTTCACAGATTGAAATCATGAGTCAATTGAAGCTAGATCACCATAGAAAACTATACTAGGACGAAACGGCCGTCCAGTGCTTCCGGGTTTTTCATGGTGGTCTAGCTTCAATTGACTCATGATTTCAATCTGTAAATGTTATTTATTATTATTATTAAAGGTACTTAGGTAAATTTAAATTACACCTCTAAACAAAATGTTTTAGATGACATTTGATTACAACAATGTCATTGTTATGTAATATCTATGGTTACTAATACAACATTAATGACTTCTATAGATTAATACATTTTAATTATCAATAATTGAATTCTATTATAAATATTCAAAAAAGGGAATACATCTGTCATATAAATTCCCAGTTAATAATTAACAAAATGAATTAATAATAGTAATAATAACAGAAAATTGAACTAGTCAAATATATACATAATATTCTATAGTCAATAATTACCTGTCATCGGTTATTGATTTTCATTTTGGAACTAATTGTCTGTCAATTATTGATTGAAATTATAAAAATTTATTTTATATAAAGGAAGTTCATTATCTAATAGAAATTATATTCATAATAAGATGGGTTTCACAACTAATGAACCAAGATATAATGTATTTGCACGTGATCTATTGGACATATCAGCAACTGGTAAGTTCTAGTTGTTTATTATAATATTGTTATACAACACAATAATGTATCATCTATTATAAAATTCATTATGTGGTCCAGCTTCAATTGACTTATTACTTTAACTATTGAAATTACCATAATATCCACAAAAAATCTCTTCTGATATTAATCAATATACGATCACTGGTGACTGGCATCAAGAGGTATTTCCTGAAGTTCTTGTGAAAAGTAGTTACCAGTGGAGTTGAACCGGGTCTGTTGTGAGATAGTAACACACTGAAGACAATGGTGGATGTGTCACTCAATTTCGTGGATTAGTTGAAGTTAGACATTAACACCATTGGATGCCGGCTCAGTGGTCTATAGGTTAAGCGTTCGTGCGCGAGACTGATAGGTTCAGGGATCGTGTCCCATGGTCTGGACCGTGGATGTTCACTGTTGAAGAGTCCCACAATAGGACGAAACGACCATCCAGTGCTTCTAGGGTTTCCATGGTGGTCTAGCTTTAATTGACTCATGAACACAACTATTGAGATTACGTAAAAGTGAAAATTCTGCAATAATTATAATGAGCAAGTGAGTACTAATTTTTTTTTAAAAAAGTTAGAATACAGGGCTTTTTACTTGTTATAGACAATAAATGTTTGAATTCTTCTCTTATCTTTTGATCTGTGTTTCAAATATTCAAACATGTTATTCACTGAAATAATCTAATTATGTTAAAACATGGCTGAAGCAATTGCTAATCGGATCAAAAAGCCAGAGTTTTGCATCCAAAAGAAATATATTCAGACGGTCCGTTTACCCTGACCAAATTCGGGCTTAACTTGTTAATAATGAGTTTTATAATATGGTGACGTAATTTGGTTAATGTTCAGTTTTATGTCCCAAACTTATCCACATATCTTAGCATTGTCATTATTACTGTTATTATTATTATTATTATTATTATTATTATTATTATAACCCTTGCTAACCATTTTGAGAAATTTATTCAGCATCCACCCCTATCTACTAATTTGTACCTAATTCATATTACTCTACATATTATGTAATTTTCGATTTGTAATTACATTATTCTCTCTCTCATACTCCATGTTGGTCATATTTATTCTGATCATTACTTATCTCACAATTTCATTTCGCTTATAAACTGATTCAACTTAACACACCATCCCAACATTGAGGATTTGATTTTATATGATAAACAACAATCCTTAGTTCGTATGTTACAATTTTAGATGATGTACTCTGTTATAGACCTGGTCAACTATATGGATTATTAAGTTGGATTTGATAATTGTAGAACCTGATGAGAAATTATTGAAAACAATATTCTTCGGTCATATAATCGTGATTTTAAAATGTCAGAAAGGGGTTTTTGTGGATATTATAGTAATTTCAATTGTTACGTTCATGAATCAATTGCAGCTGGATCGTCATGGAAAACCTGGAAGCACTGGATGGCCGTTTCGTCTTATTGTGGGATTCCTCAGCAGTGCGCGTCCACAACCACGCCTGAGGAGTCCCACAATAGGACGAAATGGCCTTCCAGCAAATTCCAGGTTTTCCATGACGGTCTAGCTTCAATTGACTTATGAACTTAACAATTGAAATTACTATAATATCCACGAAAATCCCTTCTGAAAATTTATTATGAAAAATATTCTTCATTTCTATATATGTTTTAATACGATTGGAAATTTTCATCATTTTAGGAACGAATGACTATTTATCATCTCCAATAAGTGTGTTCTTGCTTTTAACAACACTTCTCGGTTCAGGAGGACCCAAGGGTAATACAAAAGTTCAGATTGCTGAAGCCTTAGGACTTGATGATGTCAAAGAAGATCAAAAATTTGCTTCACGAATTTTCGCTTTACTATATCATAATTTGACAGACGAAAAAATAGAAGGAAAACAAATTGTTTCAATAGGAAATGGAATGTTTTTGCAGAATAAAACCAATATAAAACTGAATTTCTTGACCAGGATGAGTAATATATTCTACAATGATGTATTAAACGTAAGCAGTTATAGCTATTTTAAAATATTCATACACTGAAAAGTACAACACTAGACTGAGTGAAAACAAGAAACCAATACATACTGTAAATAAAATAAATTTTTTTCACGTTATTACTTACTTACGTCTGTTACCCTTAGTGGAGGAGCACAGGCCGCCCACTAGCACTCTCCATCCAATCCTGTCTTGAACAGTTCTTTCCAGTTGTTTCCAGTTGCTATTCATCTTTTTCATATCTGCTTTCATTTCCTGAAGTAATGTATTCTTTAGCCTTCCTCTTTTCCGCTTCCCTTCAGGATTCCAAGTTAGGGTTTGCCTCATGATGCAATCTGGCGATTTCTGTAATGTATATCCTATCAACTTCCATTGTCTTTTCCTAATTTCCTCTTCATCTGGAAGTTGGTTTGGGCTCTCCCACAAAAGGCTGTTGCTTTTTCACATTATTGGTCAACTTTAAAATGATAAATGACAACTTTGAAAATAATTTCATCATTAATTGTGTTTGATTATGAAAATGAACCAAATGTATTACAGTAACAAGTGACTTTTACAGAAAATTTTACTATTAGCGACTATTGTGCCAATGACGAGTTTAAGCAAACATTTAAATCAAAGATTATTTGTAAAAAAAATTGTGATCGAAGAAGAAACTGACTCATTCAACCGGTATTTCAGGGATCATTTTCTATTCACACTAATAACAGGATTTATAAACTATGGATAACTATTTACCACCAAATACATGGGAAACGTGAATGTGGTTACGTTCTTTTAAATGATAGTTATATTACATTAAATATGGAGTTCTATTTGAGTTTTTTTTTAATTCAAAACTCGTCCAGTTTATTTCTTTAATTTTACAAACTGTAAATGATAGATATTTTGAACGATACATCTCATACAACAGACATAAAATCTTTCAAGTAAATAAAACGTTGTTTTACTTACTATGTAAATACTTATGGCGTTATGAGAATGTGTTCAAAATAGTCTCATCTTTTTTGTGGTTGGAATCTGTTATATCGTCTATTTAAATAACTGTTTGCCTATTGATACACATTTCAAACTATGGAATTCATTACAGATACACGGGGGAGTATATATATATATATATATATATATATATATATATATATATATCTGTAATTGGCTTCATTCAGTAACCTAATACATAACTGACATTTAATAGACTCATCATCTCGATGTTGAACATTTTAAATATAAATCTAGGTAGATTTTACCAAAGTGGAAGATGCTAGAAAAAATATTAATGAATGGGTTAGTAACAAAACATGCCGATTGATTCCCACTGTTTTGGAGAAACCACTACCAGCGACTACTGTTCTTGCTTTAATCAATACCTTACACTTTAAAGGTAAGTTAATAATTGTTATGAATATTCCTGAAACCTAATATGATTCTAAATGACTGTTAACTACTTCATGAGTTCTAGTCATGGCCTTTTTTTAATGTTATCGAATTCTTGTTTAGCAAATCTAGTTTCTTGTTTGTAGTTAACTTTCAATGTCTACCAGTAGCAATTTTAAGTTCAATTTGTGGAGAAACGGGGATAGGTTATATGTCCTTGGATTTGTAACGTATCCGATTCCCAGCGTTCAATGTGTGTACAACTATCCAGCACTTTTCCGTTTATTAATTGATTCATCGTAGTCTAAAAAAAGTATAATTTTCACTGGGAACGTCATTTCAAGTTCTATCACTTTATATATTGTTTTCATCTGACAAGTTGAGATGCCCTGTTCATAGAAAGCATAACCTGATATGATTAAAATGAAATCTTCAGTGAAAATAGAACCTATACGCAGCACTGACATACTAAGTGTGAACAGGAAAAATGGTCCAAAATACTAGATCCTAAACATTGTAAAAAAGATGGTTGTCGTAACATGCCAAGTTGTTCAGCAAATTCCTTAGTCGATTTTGAACTATATTTTGTGTTGTGAAAGTAAGAATCAATTATCCTGATTATTTCTAGATTAATAGTTCACGAATTATTTACAAAGTATAGTTTAATTTCAGAAGGGGTTTTTGTAGATATTATAGTAATTTCAATAGTTGATGTTATGAGTCACTTGAAGCTAGACCACAGAAAACCTGGTAGCACTGGAGGGCGATTTCATCCACGATCCCGCCACCCGCGAGGTCCGAACCCAAGACCTATCAGTTTCGCATGCGAGCGCCTAATCTCTAGGTCACTGAGCCGGCATCCATTGGTGTTAATATCTCACTTCAACTAATCCACGAAATTGAGCGACAAATTCATTATTGTCTTCAGTGAGTTACCATCTCACGACAGACGTGGTTAAGTGTTCGCGCGCTAGACCGATATGTCCTGGGTTCGAATCTCGCAAGGCGGGATCGTGGAGGCGAACTGCTGATGTGTCCCACAATAGGACGAAATGACCATCCAATACTCCCAGGTTTTCTATGGTGGTCTAACTTCAATTAACTCATGATCTTAGCTATTGAAATTACTGTAATTTAATTATTGAGTAATGAACTATAACTTTATTTAGTGAATATTTATTTCAAATTAAAGTTGCGGATGTGAGGTTGTATTTCAATTAAGTTATTGAATGAATGTCAAATGTGAATTGTTGTTTAATCAATACTGGAAGAAGGTTCTCAAATATAACACCTATATAGATTCAATAAGTAATGACTTTTAACAAACACAACAATTGGTCATTGAAATAGAACCTTTTAATGTATTTATGAACAATAACAACTCACTAAATCTGTTTAGGTCAGCTGGTCTATGGGTCATTTGAAATCACTTGGCTAAAATCACAGTAATCCAAGTAGTAACAAGCTCACATGTCACTTGCCAAAATACCAAGGATATGTTAACAAATATTAATAACATTTTAAAAACCTTAAAAATCAAACCCACAACTTTAGGTTACTATTGGTGCAAATTATAATGAACAAACTTCACAATATGGTGACTAGTGAATTTCAAATGAAGGCGTAACGCGATGGTTTCAATGTCGCTTCGTTCTTCCTATACTACTTATTTAAACAATTATCAATTTTTGTATTGAACCAAATCCTTAACTATACAAAACCCGACTTCTCTCAACTGGAGAAAAATTCCTGGAAACATGATAATCAGGAATGGATTTTGTTAACTACTAATTATTCTGAATTCTGATAATTCATCTTACAGAAAATACCATTACTCTGATGTTGATAGTGAACATAATCATCTTATTATTCATCTATCAGAGTGACCTTCACTCACCATGAGGACTAGTAAGCGTATATTTGTAAGAACCAAAAAAGCTTCTTAAAAGCAAGCTGCTTTACTTACCGAGAAACATTTGATTCCAGTGTTGAATTCGAATGTCTTTCATAACCAATTTAAAATATCAATATCATCATGTTTCTAATAAATCACTGATCTCTCCGAGCTTAAAGTGACTTTCATTCTTAAAGATCATTTAAATCGAATATAAATTGTTCGAGCTTGATAAGTGCCAGTTTTCAACAAGCAGGTCCTCTTACTAGCGTTCATAACTGATGATCAAAACAAATTGTACATAGACTGAAAAAAACTCATTTAGCTAGATTTCATGAATGAAATTAATGTGTATTATGCTATACAGTTTATTTATTGTGTTAATTCGTACTGTCGATATACAATTCGACAATTCTCTGTCTGAGTAAATGTAAGATATCAGCCGAAAATTCTTGAATTACGATTAAAAGAGTTCAGAAATTTAGATTATTGTTCATAAATTTTGTCTTTTTATTTTATTAACGAAATCATATTTATATGTAAATCATCTAGATCCAACAAATGTAACCATTTTAAAATCAATACCAATGACCATTTGTTCACAGCTGACTGTAAGCTCCTACACTTATATTTATATATCATGAGGAAATCATAGATTTACGAATCATTTAATGATCTTGTCGAAGTTTAATTTATCTACAAATTAGCCGATATTTTGTGAAATCATAAAACTTTATATTTTTCCAGCAGACAAACTCCAGAGGTCGTTATTGTTTCTACTAGCAGTTGCGTCCATTGCTGCCTTTATTAGACAACAGAAAAAATGGAACCAGAGTAAATAACCTGTAGTCAAACGGTCTCTTTACATTTTATAAATTTCATCCGTTTGAATACGTATCGTTAGATAATCTTGTATATTAATGTTCAGGCAGTGATTTTCATTTTATTATAACAAACGGACAATGTGAATTGTATGTATTGACATTATGTATATTACTTCCGTAATTTATTCATTGTAGGAAAATGGAAAAAACCGTTTTCCAACTATTCGACTACAGAAGGTAAATTTAAGCCCAACAATCAATCCATAATAAAAATACCGATGATGCACATTACCGACAGCATTGATTATGGTACATTCCCAAAATACAAAATTCATATGATTAGTAAATCATTCATGGTAAGAATGCCGAAATCGCTTATATTTCTCATGTGATATTACGAACAGTAAATACTGAACATACAAACTTAAGGGTCCAGTAGGTTTGAAAAATTGTAAAATCTGAGTTGGAGGCTAACTGAGCTGTGATAGTTTATTCGTAGGTATTATGTACTGCTAAATTTTTCGAATTTGATGCTTGTAAAGTACTTGTACAAATAATCTTCACGTCTCCTAATGAGCCTAATCAATGTAGACTCATTTTTAATACAAGTTGAAATAACAATATAATAATACTTAGATTTTGAACTCATGTATGTTATTATGTGGAAATTTACCATCGTTCCAAGTTCCTTATGTACTTTATACTACTCAACGATCAGTCAGGACACAAACAGGTTAAACTAAAATCTTGTTTTCCGGAAAAAATAAAATATATATACATCGTCTTTATATGATTCGTGAATATTTCAAAGTCAGCAAACTGTTTTTGTTTTATCAAACCGGAGTCTTTTCGACAGAGACTTACACCAGTCTGAATTAGCTTTATCGTGGATTCGTCATGCACCTTTGTATAATTTTACCGATGGTTGCACATCCTTCTCTCGTCGTTTATCTATGTACAAATGTTCTCGTTCAACTAGAGCCAGTTTTTTTCTTTATACTGATAACGTATCAAACGACAGACCTCTTTTATGTTCCACTGTAAATCATCACACACAATGCTATTTAGTTCCAGTATTAGGAAACAACGCATTAATTATTGTTTTTTGAAAAAATACCATACTCTCAATTTACTCTGTTCTTTATCACGTAGCTTTCAGGTTTGCAAAAGTTTACGATGGCTTAATCATTTTGTTTTGAACATTTTAGAATTCACGATTTTCGTTTGTTGTGATATTGCCAACTGAACCGGGAAAACTCAAATATGTCGATAAAGTGTTACGTGGTGACATCAAACTGCCTCATTTAGTGAGTAGACTTGAAAGTAAACAAGTTGCTTTATCTTTACCGAGATTTCGATTGGATTTCTCAATTGATCTTATTGAAACGTTGAAAAACATGTATATCACTGATTTGTTTGACTCTAATGAAGCAAATCTTGGAGGTGAGTAATGTGTACAATTTTAATATTTATTCAATGCCACACAAAATGAAGTTTGTTGGTTTTGTTTTTTAGTAAGCAATCTTTTAAGAAGTATTCTTACAAACATTATTCAATTATCACAACCTGCGTACTGTGTTAAATGCTGTGATAATTTATAAAAGTTTTTTTCTTATTTGACTGTTGTTAATTTGTAGGAATTACGAATGCCAAAATACATGTACAAGTTCTTCAACAAAGTGTTGCTTTAAAAGTAAATGAAGATGGTGTGGAAGCAGCAGCTGCTACAGTAATGGGTATTGGTTTCAGAAGCGCTAGACCTCCCCCTAGTGTTCGTTTTGACGTTAATGAATCATTTGTTTGTTATGTTTATGATAAAATACTGAAAACTAGTTTGTTTGCCGGTCGCATAATTAAACCCATACCTTTAACGAACAATAAATAAACGAAATCTGAAGTGTAGTCAAAATACGAAACATCCATTACGGTAGCAACTATTGTACACTTGCTCTGATGATTTACAAATAATGTTTTCGCTACATAGCTACAAATATATCAGTTTTAACATATCTACTTCGGTTTTTTCATTCTTAGTCTTATTCAGTTGTGTATCAAATTGTTGAACAAAGTGTATGTAGTTTATAAGGAAAATAGTTGTTTCATGTAACTGACTATTACATCCCCTTATGAGTGGAAAAGGATGTAATCCATGTATCTCTGAAATAAAGGCATGTAAAAACAATAACCCACAAGATATAGGGTTATGTGAAAGAAAATTAAGATGGTTCGTAAAAACAAAACAACAAAGGTCTGATTATTAAGTCAAAATCGTCAATAAAATGAGGTGACATTTTCATTTGAACCGAACATTAACATGATACATAGAAATAAAGGGATCGAACAGTGTAACGGTACCTTCACTGTGGAACAGTGATTTATTGGTAATGAAGTGCATATATGAGGGGTTTTTACATGCATGCAAATACATACATAAACTAAGTATCTTATAAACGTACAATATCGTGATGAAAAGAGTGCACAGACTATGATTAAGTTGAAATTTAACTAAGAATCGGTGGATAGTTTTAATGTACAGGTAGATGATCACTGATTCTTTTGTAATCTATACCACGAGATGAAAGATAATTAACTTCTCTGACAAAAGCTATATAGTTATGCATTTATCTGTCAAAATACAAATACGCCGATTTCATCAGAAATCCAGTATAATGGGAAAACTGTCTTTTATCGATATTAATTTTTGATTTGATTCTATCTGTAAATTTATGTTCAACCGAAATACATTAGGACAAAATTTGAAAGCTTTTAAATCTTTCAGGATGAAAAACTTAATTTAACACTTTTAAATAACCTAAATGTTACTTTTACATTATTTTGTGACCTGATTATGAACTCGTTAGATAAACAACGATCCCGAAAATAATACAAGAGAGTTAGCCTCATCATTAGTTTCGAGCTACCCGTCTAAAAGTTTATTCGCTAAGGAGCAGGGTAGTGAGTACAAAAGAGGATCAAACTTCTACATAAAATGATATTTAAACTCAACAATTAAAGAGATTTATTGACAAGCCGTACAAATTTACTAAATATATCAAAGTTTTCTCCTCAAATATTTATTGATCTTTGATAGTATTGAATGGCAAGAAGGCGGAAAAGAAATGAGGCTGGGAATAGAATCCGCAGGGAGGAATCTTGTGATATTAGTTGTTCTTCGGAAGATAATTGAGCTAAAGTCACTTTAGGTGAGACAGTAAGCAATTTAAGTATGTCGGGACAGCTTCCGAGAATTACGACTAAGCCTAAAGAGGCCTTAAAGGAGCTGAAGGGTTTCCACCCAATGAGAACGTGATGGAGCCTTCTAGAATACCGACGCGGCACGCTACGGTTGGACAGCAGCAAAACTTGCCTTTTTGAAAGTTGGCTGGATTATAATGGTGTTATAACTAACGCTAATATCTATAAATACCCATGATTTTATGTACATTTTGATTCTTATCCAAAAAACTCTTCTCCAGCTTACCTCTGTCCTCTGTTTGTGAGACTGTGGGGTCCTACACTTTTGACTTCCGTAGTTGTATACCATATTTTGCGCTTATCAAGTAGCGAAAACAACACAGTGGTTTTTGGATGTGTTGCATAAATCCTTGAGACTTCCGCAGCAAGTAGTCGGAGGTCAACGTGCAGACAGGCTCAGCCAGACCGGACTAAACTACTGTGATATCAGAGTGAATAAGTGAGTCAAGCTCAGTTTTGAAAACCTTAGTAGGACATGAACTAACCCATGATCGTATACCGAGAGTATCATCATTCATGAAAATCAGCACCACTTTAACTATTACTGACAACAAATCTCATGAAAGTAGGATGTGTAAAACACATAGTTGTGACGTGCGATGTCCGAAATATGATACTGATCCATGATGTGCTACGTGCTAACCTCTCGACTGACTAGTTGAGGAAGAACACAAGAGTGAGCAGGAGAGCATATTGGGCTATCGAACAAAATCCACAAATATTCATGTATATATATACGAATTCACACCTTATCAAGTTAATCCATTACTTAGCCAACGAAATACACCTATCCATCAGGTCACTTCTGACTGCCATCAATTGGCCTTCTCACTGGGCTACTTATTATTATTATTATCATTGTTATTGTTATTATTATTATTATTATTCACAAACATCTTATGGGTACATAAGTGTTGTGAAGAAACCATTTCTGGTTTCTTCAAAAAATGCAATAATACACAATTTTCAATAATGTTAGCATTATACTTGCCATATTTAAAAAAAAATTTAGAGTAATAATAGTAGAATATTAATAATAATAAATCGGGTCTGTGTAATCGAGAAGAATATTGAATTGAGTTTAAAGAAGGAAATGGATAAAATAAGGGAATAGAAATAAAGGAGACGTGAAATACGCAAACAGTTTAATTGGCATATTTATGAACGTAAAACAAGAACAAACGACTATGTATATAGCGTCAAATTAGTAACAAAAAATAATTAAGAAAATACAACTTATTATTGTAGTAAGATATGACGCTAGAATAAATGTTTGTGCAGTCATAGTTTGGAGTGATGCGATGAAAGTCTCAATTGAGTGAAAAGGATAATGAAATATTAATATGTATGAGTCATATATGCATAGTGAAGATAAAACGGGTCTGAGAAGTTAATTTAAGTGTAACACAAGTTATTGTCTTAATTACAAACTTCGTAATCTTAAGAATAATATTTATATAGAAGGGAAAAAAGAGAGACAAGAGAAGTGGATACCTAGTGAAAAGGTTCATCCATGATAAGAATAATAATTGTGTAATAAATATCAACCTCAGAAGGAAACCAACAATTTAGAAAAATAAAATAAAAATCCTTTAATGCACTCGGATAAATACCATGTAGATTTATGTAATAATATACAGTGTGAAACCGGATATTAGTATAAACATATGTGCAATAATAATTAAGAATGATGCTATGAAAGTCACAATTAATTTCAAAGGACAGTCAGGAATTAAATATGTTAAGAAGGATAAGAAGATATAAAAAGAATATCTAATGTGTCGGGGGAACAATAATGATATTGATAACAGTAATAATTATAGATACGAACATAAGCAGACTTCATATATCAAGATGAATAGAAATAAAATAAAATAGACGTGAAGAGATTTAAAGGTTTTATTTTGCTTTCCAGGCAATTAAATGGATGATGGACCTTGTTTGTATAAATCATTATTAAATACATTGATATTCAATAGGTGACATAATCCACTTTCGGAAAGAAAATCTTCAAGCAGACTTCTGAACCGGGTTGTAGTTTCACTGCAACGGAGGTTCACTGCCAGTCTGTTCCACATGGTTGAGTAGCGAATAAGGAAAAAATTCTGACGTAAGTTTGTGTGGGCTCTTGGAATCGCTAGAATATTCTCCTTATTGCGTAGATTGTGAGATGATATCATAAGGTATGAAGGGGTGGATACCGGAGAGTAGGAAATACCGTTAATAGGCCGGTAGATAAAGGCAAGATTTAATTTGATACGTCTGATCCAAAGAGGTTCTAAGTTGAGTTGTTGACATCTTTGGTGATAATCTTTGTTATCAAAATACCCCAGAACAACTTTGGTGAACTTCCTTTGAACACCTTCAATTTTAATCAGGTCATTATGTCTGCAATTACTGTAAACTAAAATACCATATTCAAGAATGGGTAAGACACATTTTCTGTATAATAACAATCTCGATTCGATATTATTAAATTTTATCATTATCAATCCCATCAGCTTTCTAGCTTTGGATACTTGAGATATAATGTGCTCAGAAAAGTTCAGACTGTTGCTATATCTTAAACCCGAGTCAAGAACAGTGTTGAGAGGTTTGAGTGTATGTGTGTGTACAGTCAGATTTAAGGCAGCGACCAATGTGAATAAATCCACTTTTGTCAACATTAAGTGGCAAATTCCACGAAACAGTCCATTCGTACAACTTGTTTATTTCCTCTTGGATTACCGCTGAAATATAGCTTTCTTTCGTAGGAGAAGAGAATGAATATACTACTTTCAGGTCATCAGCAGAAAGGAAAGGCTTACCATACTGAAAGAGGGAACACACGTCATTGATAAAAAGGAGAAAGAGTAATGGACCAACCACACTTCCTTGTATAACCCCACTGGTTACATTCACAGGTTTAGAGTAGCAAGATCCAAAGCGAACGATTTGGCTACGTTCTTCTAAAAAAGATTTGAGCCAAGATAAAAGGGGATTCTGCATACCAAATGAAGAGAGTTTTAAAAGAAGTTTGTGTAAGACACTGTCGAAAGCCTTACTAAAATCGAAGTAAAGAATTATCACTGACTGACCAACATCTCTTTTCTCAGTAATTTGATCAAAAAACTCCAGGTGCGATGTGAAACATGAGCGCTTAGTCATAAACCCGTGTTGGGATGGGCTGATCAGACTAGCCGAAAGTAAAAATGATAATAGCTTGTAGATCACCAACGTAGATGATCTATGTCGAAATGATTGGAGGCCTACTCGAGTTAGACATGAATGGTGTGACAAACTAGCTAATGTCGAAGTCACACCTCGTGGTCAGCACCTTACGTGGACTACCCCCATTGACGTAACAAGGTACTATAGATGCTTTGAAGACTGTACAACACAAAGGACGTTATTACAGAAATATATTAGTTAAAGTAGATACAAGCGAAAGTAAGACCACTGCCGCATGGGCCAGTCCATGGCATACGATTAACTAATGCGCATTGCTTGTACATGACCTTGGCAGGGAGCGATGATCTGTTCGACATTCAGTGATCCAACTGCCGGATGATTTGGCTAGGGCTCAGTGACATTTCACTGGCCCTACAAGCTGTTTGTGGATGATTTTTTCCATGGTTCTTGAGAGTACGGATGTCAAATTAATTGGCCTATAGTTAATAATATCACTACGTAGTCCTGTTTTGAATCTAGGGATGATAAGGGATGTTTTCCATACAGATGGATAGGTCCTATATTCCATGGATAGATTGAAAAGTTTCAAACAAAATAGTGGAAATTCTCTACTTCCATATTTCACAAATGATAAAGGTATCCCGTCAGGTCCACCATCATAAGACTTTTTCAGGGCAGCTATGGCCTGTTTGATGTTAAAGGGTGTAAAATCAATTTTCGACAGATTTCTGGATGTCAGCATTGGAAATGTAATGATGGAGTTTTCAGTTCCAGTTTTGTAGCACTGCGAGAAGTGCTTGCTGAATCGTTCGCATATAGTATTCGGGTCGTTAACAATGCTTCCGTTAACTATGAAGAATTTAGTCGTGCCAAGGGAATTTGACTTTACACGGGATTGAAAAAACCGAAGTATTTATAATTCTGGGCTTTTACTACAAAGAGCTTTATTTTCTATATTCATAAAATACTTACGTTTAGATGAAGCATTTCTGTCGATTAATTTAAGTATACTCTGAAGTGCATACACATCATTCTGCTCGTAGTAGCTCACCACATCACTATGCATGGAACAAGACCTGCCTATCTTCCAGACGTTGTTCTAGAACCCAGTGTGTGTTCGGAGCATCGCACCTAATCAAGACTTCTACCACATTATTTTGCAACCTTAGAAAAGTTATATCTTTCAAACGCTTTCACAGTCTCAGCTGCTGTTCGGTTAGGGGTTCTGCATAATCGATTGGAAATCTCTTAGTCGTATAAGCCCTAGTGATCTGTAAAGATCCCTTCTCATCCAAGAAAAATATCTCTGAATTTACTTCTAGACATTTTCAGGTAGTAGTATCACTCATAGTCGTTATGCTATTCAGCAATATCAACTTCCTCTTCAAAATCCAACATCTTAGGCTACTTTTCTAATTCAAGTCTTTTTCTTATTTCTTCTTCCTTAGTAACGCTATACCTAACTTGAGTTTGAAAGAACTAAGTCGATCAGAACCCACACCAGTAGCACTCATTTCATCATTAACAGCGTACATATCACAAACAGCTTTAAGAATCTCACCTTCCATTTCCGTATTTTTCTTCGACCTTTTAATTCTAGTTTCCAATGTGTATCTTCGTTCCATAAAGTCAAGTATATTAAGTCAAACTTAAATTATTTCGAAAGGAATCCAAGTAAATCGGTTAAAAGAATTAATGGTTGGTTCAGAGTGAACGTTCAAAGAAATAAAAAGTATAAGGAATAAAAAAATAAACCGGAATCGAAGAACTTCGCGTTACGTACAAGTTTCTGCTCTCGTGTCACTGAAGCACGGTATGTTGATCTACTTGCAATTTACGAGCTCAAAATAACAATAGGAAATCCTGTAACAGGTACTCGAACTCATGATCACCATATTTTGATTCCATATTAACTCATTAAAATGAAGACATTCTGAACCTTAGTGACATACCAACTCTAGGTAACAGTAACCATGATGTTTTAGCTTTTTAATTCTGTATTGGCCCCAGTGATCGATACCGTTAAATTCAAGATAATACTCTCCATGGTTCGACGAAGACGTTCGTGCTCATCTGTCGACTGATTAAGGTTATTAAGCACAAAGGAGAAGCTAGAAAAAGGCATTTCTTAACCCTGCGAATGTTCATAGTCGGACATAAATCGAAGCTTGTTAACCATTCTACGCGAAGTTTACGGATAAGAAATTTTTGATGAATTCTATAATTTTCCGTAATCGGAAACGAAAATAGTCGATGGATAGCACTTGGAGAGAACAAAGTTTCAACGACCCGTAGTTTTACTGATTTAAATCTGTGGAAATATGTGAATGCAGCAAGCTTTGTGAACAGACACAAAGTTCAGGAACGGTGATGTTAAGTCATGGGGAATAGTTCGCATTTCATATGAAAACCTTAAGCATTATGGCTAATTATTAACGTTGAAGCGTGTCCCTATCTCATATGCCAGAGACGATAGAAACGAAAAAGTGCCTTTTGAACTCCTAACAGCGATGGTTTCTAGGGTGGTTAAGAAAACAGATGAGGTTGAAGGAAGCAATGTTACTTTCGTCAGAATTGTTTTTGGAGTGAACAGAGCCTCTTATGTTACTACAAACTATTGTCTTTATAGACACTTGAAAGTGATATTTGATGCATTCGCTCTGTTTTGGCCTTGAACGCAGATTTTTTAATCATTTCGACCCCAATGTTTTAGTCTCGATCTGCTCCGCCGGTTAAATTGTGAACACTGGGCTTCAAAAAACCTTATTATTGAAGTTTTGCTGGGGACTTTTTCCACAATCGTAGAAATAACAATATTTTCGGAGATCCTCGACCTTAATCAATACGTTCTTATTCGGTTGTACCATTCACTTGTCGTTTGACTGGGGAGCGTCAATCTGTCAAGTGTTTGTACCTCAATCATCGCAGGGTCTTAAACTTGAGATATAACACTTCACTTTTATCTTTTGAAAATACAATAGGATAAAGAACGGATTTTTACTGCAGTGAATTTGAAATACGAGTGACTTCTTCAAACGAGAGCTCTTTTAGTTTGAGATGACCTCTGTTACTAGCTAACAACTAAAGCTTACCGGCTACCCAATATTCAACTGTAGCATAAACAATTATTTTGTTCCCCATGCCTGCATATCAAGTGAAATTGCGAACATTTTAACAATTATCATGTTGTAGATCACCAACGTAGATGATCTATGTCGAAATGATTGGAGGCCGACTCGAGTTAGACTTGAATATTGTGACGAACCAACTAACGTCGAAATCACACCTCGTGGTCAGCACCTTACGTGGACTACCCCCATTGACGTAACAAGGTACTATAGATGCTTTGAAGACTGTACAACACAAAGGACGTTATTACAGAAATATATTAGTTAAAGTAGATACAAGCGAAAGTAAGACCACTGCCGCATGGGCCAGTCCATGGCGTATGATTAACTAATGCGCGTTTCTTGTACATGACCTTGGCAGGGAGCGATAATCTGTTCGACATTCAGTGATCCAACTGCCGGATGATTTGGCTACGGCTCAGTGACATTTCACTGGCCCTACAATGTCAAGAGTAAATCATTATGTGGTAGGTTTAGTTGACTCGTAAGTGAATCCCTTGGTAGTTTCAGAGACTCTTGCATCCATTTGCTATAACACTTACAAGCAAAGGACTTGCGAAACTGCTTCTCTAACCATCAGGAAGTCGCTTGTTGAAACAGTTGTAGATAGGGTCATCGTCCTAAATTTTTCTGAGGCCTTAGTCGTGTGTAATCTGTGTTCACTAATCCTTTTATAAACATCGTTTTACGCCGTTCTGTTCATTAAACAAGATGCACATCACTAGTGCTCCCACCGATTCCTACAACATGAGATAAGGACGGTTCTTCGGATTCCATAGGCTCCATAGCTTCGTTTAAAACTCAGAACCAATTTTCCGAAAATCATATCTGAACATAGTACCAGTTACATGATTCAAACACTGAATGAGGGCCCCGCATCGGACAACAATGGTCATACATTCATGCAGATTTCCGTTTCCAGGTACACACGTAACCAACTAAATGAAAACAGAACGACTGATTTTAAACTCAGTACTCTACTGCTGGGAGAGGAAGAGACATAAATGATGACCGTATCACGTATTCTTCATTAGTTATGACCAGGGACTCAGTTAAAATGCAATTTGTATTGTAACTAGGACTACTGACGTTCCAACACTATAATAACACAGCATAACTGTTGTTTTGTGTTTATTCACTCATCCTTGTGGTTTTGCTGCTTGTGCCTTGTGTTTAATAGAAATCCAATGATCAAATCAAAGAAATCCGAACCTCAGTCTTCAAGTCCACCGAAGGCTCTTCACCTGTACTATCCTGTTGGTTCTGTAGTCTGCCAAATAAGATTCATGCTAGTTGCATTCTCGAAACTCGCAACATAACTGGATCATCTTTAAATAAAGGGAGTATGAATCTTTTAGAGTAGGTACGGGTGCATGGAATAAATTGAATATCAGGGTAGAGAACAAATCCTAAATACACTACTTCCATCATCCGGGATCGTAATCTCTATAGTTCAGGAAAGTATGGGATAATGTATTAACGAAATGCGAGATGCTGATTATTCAAAGTTATTAAAATAAAACATCTTACAATCCAACGTTGCACTTCACGAAGGAATTTGTCCAAGTGTCTAGGCTATTTATATAGTACGATCACGAAGACCCTCAATCATACCGTAACGTCAAAACATGAAGGTGAAAACCAGTTGACTTATACTAGTTCCTTATACAAATAGTGGATATATTGAGTATTGTACATTGGAAAACTAAGAATTGAATAGTTGGTCGGCATAGTTACAGATGGCAAATACATACAACGTGTTTGAAATTGTACTCCACAACTACTAGATTGCCTTAACCTCACTCCAGTCTTGCTGCTAATTTTTGTAGGTTGCTGTTACCATTTAACGTAAGTAGATCATATGTGCCTACCGCATCTTCACAAAAAATGTTCTCGTCTTTTCAGATTTCTGTACACACGTTATTCTTCACGTTCCCTCAGCGCACAACGTACTCTCAGGGTAGGAGCAAACCGCCACGTGTTTGTATCTCATAAAAAGATATACTTCTGGAGCTATTTTAACGATCCGACTGAGTTGAACATTATACATTCAATGGCTGAATCGTTAGCTCAAGCTGGATTATATATTGACGATTTTTATAAACTTCGAATAGTTGATCCTAGAGTCGCACAAGAAACAAACGAACTTAAGGAAGAATGTGAAAAGTATCTTTCAAGTATGAACTGTACTAATTCTGTCAAACTCTAATCATTATAATTTAACTTATTTCTTCATTAATTAGTATGTGAAACCGAAATGCACTATAGGGGACGTTTCTTCACTCATATTGCTCATGATGGTGATAGGAACACAATCTCCCAAATTTGCGGAAATTTCGGGGTATTTTGGGAAAACTCCATAGTCAAATAGGCTTCACTAAGGTTAAAGGGAAATATTGGGGAATTTCCCCAGGTTCGGGGAAATTTCGAGGTTTAGATGCCATTTCATCAAAGTTTACTATAGCGGCCTCCCCGAAATTGGGAGCTTGGAAAGTCTTTTTTGTCCTTTTATCGCTACTTAACAATATTATGGCTTCAAATGCAGGAGGAATCGGCTCAGAATACTATGATCTGGTACAATAGTAACGTAAAAAGCAACGATTTCTATTTATTATTTAAGACACTTAAAGTCATTCACCTGATCTTAAAACTTGTACCCTGGTCTTTCCTTCATATTCTTGAATGCATATATCTCTACATTGGTAGATGCGTCGTTAGCATTGGCTTCAAAAAGATCTGGGGTAATCCATACAACGGCTTCAATACAAAATCGCTCAAGTGAACAGATAAAACTAATATTTCAACAGAGAAATATGCGTTACAGCATACTAATTAGTGTTGATGATGGACCTTTAATTTTTAAGTACTTTAGTTAAATAAAACAAACGATGCTGCTTTCAAGCGTAACAAACCATCGGGATCATTTATTTTTCAGTATTATTTTCTGTCATAGTAGTACCAAAATGTATGGTATAGGTTACTACGCGGAACGTAGTTATTATTTTCAAAAAATTACCCCCATTTTTATAGTCCTGTGAGAAAATTTCGAGATATCAGGCGGGTTAATTACTGATAATAACGAGTGACATCTATAGGCAAGTTGGGATCTCCAGTGTTATACCGCTACTCTTATACCAATAAAACGTTCTTGAAATATCACCAAGTTCCCTAAATGCTAATATCCATTTTCCTCAGGATGGCTCGGTCAATTAGATATGTGAGATTACGGTTTTAAGAAAATGGTAAAAGTATTCCTAAAAATTCAACTGTTATGACATTTTATCAAGCGTTTGATGAACGTGTGCCAGTGACAGATCCAAGCTTTTAAACGAATACCCAACAATCAGTAAAGTACGTTCTCTTTGATTGCATAGATGTACTTATTTTGTTGTTGAAAATCTCTAAATTTAAAGATCAAATTTGGTTCAAAGTTTTGAATCTGTATTACAAATAAGTATAAACAAATAATTTGTGTTTTGGAATTTTTATAGACGTTTTATAAAGTTTCGTTAATTAGTTCAGGGTTATACCAACTTCATTTGAGTTGTTCCGTATTGACAATGATATGAAGATCTTTCATCATGTGTTGCCAAATCACAGAAAAACGTTTTTCATCTCAAAAATATAGAAAGACAAGGTTTTGAATTCAAAATCTTAATTGTGCCCCATATATCAGCCTCCATTTGATCTTGGTTTAACCAAATATTGTTTCAAATAAAGTTTTTATGTTCGTAGAAAAATGCATTTGATATTCTTTTAAGGTCTATATTTAGTTGTAAGCTACATTTGTCAAGAAAAACACTCTATGAAATGTGTTTGTGTCTGATAAATTTTTATTTCATTCAGAATATTTTTGGAATTGCCTTTTCAGTCACTAACTTTTTAGAGACATGTATTATGTTTCGGAACTATATATATATATATATATATATATATATATATATTGGCACGGTTTTAAGATTGTGTCAAAACCAGAACAATTTAAAATGTAAAGGTTACGATGAAAGCACTTATTTTATAGTATTGCAATCGACTTTATAAAGATATAGATAACGGTTGATTTGTCAGTGTTCAATCTGTACAATTCCTTGCCAAAAGACAAATCGACTTCATGTATACACTTAATACCATATACGATATCACTATATTCACTGGAGTAAACTTATTCTAAAAGCAGCTTCAAAGTCAGTCAAAATATATGTTGATTATTCATTGTTTGTAAGCCCTATGATAACTTGAAATTAGAAAGTACTTTAACGATCTAGTATTTAACACCAGTATGTTTGTTTTGAGATAAGGGTTATTTAGTTTGTAATCACGTTCTCTTAACAGACTAATATCACCCCAAGAGCATTTTGGAAACTTAAGAATTATAAACATTTGTTTCTTTTCTGAAACTCTTCTACAATACTTACTTCATTAATGTTAAAACCCAAAAAGCATCCACAATCTCCTAATGCGTTATTGACTGTGTGGCTACTAGTGAGGAGATATGAGATGGAATTTTGGATTTATGATTGCGATTCATGATCAATATACTGACAGTAAGACTGATATCATTGACAATAATGCACGATTATTGGGTAATAATGTGAATCAGCTAAGGCTAAAAAGGTGAAACACTCACCTCTCACTCATTAACCTAATTGTGTAATACCAGCCACGAAACATATATGTCCTGAGTTACATTCGCTGTATGATTCAAGCGCAATGCTAATAAGTTTAAACCTGGAACAAAGCGTATTTCCGGTTTTTTTATAGTCCGTAATATTTTCAAAGGTAACATTCGTCTTTGATGAAAACCAACTCCAAAACTCCTTTTATATTTCCACTTGTTTTTTACTTCAATCTCAAGTTCAGTACTGATAGATGATAATATAGAATAAAATTATTTTAGTGTACTCAATGCTGAACTCTTACTTCATGTTGAATTTCTTTCTTTCCTAGAAATGAACGACTTTAAGGTGATTATTGGAGAACTTTTCAACCTGATCAGCTCTGTAGCTGAAAAAGTTGAATCACAAAAGCTAAAAGTTTGTTTTAATAAAAAATAACTATTTACATACACATTTATTTAGGCGATTGGTTCAAGAAACCTACTTACCTCTATGGAAAAGCAAAGAGACTTACAACAAAAACACTTGGAATCCCAGATATTGGCCAAAAAGAAAGATATAGATAGGTGAGTTATTCTTACTATACTTAGATTGTGGATACCAATGGAATCTCGGATGACCGTTTTTTTCTATTTGTAACCAGTTAGGTGCATGTAACCACAATTGCATTATTATTCACACTGAGACTTGAACCCATTACTGATCACCTCACAATACGATATTCTATCCATTATGCTACTGATGTGTGGCTAGTGAGAGTAAAATGTGATTGGTCACTGAGAATGAACAAACAGACTCAGCTTACTTGCTATTAAGTATTTAATTTTTTTCTTTTATTGATTTCGACTCTGGATTCACGGATTATAGACTGGTTGTAATTGTTTTCAATAGAGTATTGTTTAGCTCTTATTCTAGTTCTCTGTTTTTGGACATGAAAAACATATCTGACTTAACACGATTAAGTCTGTGGATAACATATCAATAGAGCATCCAGTCCAGTGGTGGTAGAAATCTCGGTCACTGACCTTTTATATTATCATGTAGTAGCAGTACATCGTGGGAACAGAAAATAATTCCTATTTCTGCCGTTATATCTGCTACTTAATCCAGACAATTATTAACTTGTTCAACAGGTATGAATTTATTTCTAAGGGTTTGTACAGTCGCTTTAACTGATCAGTCAAAAATGACGTATGTGGATGTTAAGCGGATCTTCGTGATGATGACTTTTAAATCGTACATTTTCTACGTACTTAAATCTTACACCTGGCCCTAAAATTTTATACTTGACTAATGATTATACAATGTCTTATACATCCTTAACAAAAAAGTATTCAGTAATGCTTAAATGTTTTTACCTTAAGAAAAACTGCTTTTAGATATTATTGACAGATAAATAAAAACAGTGTAAAACTGTTACAGGAAAACTTCATGCCAAAATATGTGGGAAAATAATGAAACGAACAAACAAAAATCATAAAAAGGTTAATAACAAGAACTAGAGAAAGGCAATTAACGAATATCTCTGGATTGCTATGATGAAATTTGAATAATTTCAATAACCTTTTACAATCCATAAATGGTACCATAATGGGCTTTGGAGAAAGGTAGTGACAGACATTGCTTGTTGATTTTATAAAACAAATAATATATGGTTAACAGTGAAATCCAGGACCTATGTTTCGTCTTACTCAGGAGTCGTCAGCTTCATGCACTTGCATCTCAGAGTTGATGTTCACTCCGGTTTTTAAACTCAGTACGCTTTACTTCAAACACCAGTCATGTTATCCACTTAGCCTTGAGTCCAGATACCTAGTCACTCATGCAACAGATATGAATTTTAACTAAATTTTAGTGGTTTGAATTTTCCCGTTGGTGATATTTTTACTGAGTTTTGATCAGTTTTACGACAAAACCTGCGTCTTGAATCCCAATGTTAGCCACATCATATTCATTCTATAAAAATTATGATATCATGGCTAGATATGTGCGATCTGCGCAGAATGCACATATATCGATTAAGACTGGTCAGAATTAAGTCAATATTAAAAACGGGATAATCTGAACTATTATATCTCTTGGTCGTTTCAACCACCCCACTACGTGCAATTCTAATTCGTATAATTTGTAAAAAATAGTGTAATTTTATATTTTCATTCATTGATTACCGGGTGAAAGCTAATAACATTCTTGTCCAGTCCTTACTGTTAGTTGGATTTTATTCATCAAGTTGGAATATAGTCATTACTGTGAATTAATCGATATCGCGTGCTTTATTTTTTTCTGATATTAGTTAGTTTGAGGTGGTAAATAGGAAGCAATTGAGATTGGGTGATGCATTCCACGGTGAGCATCAGTTCTGTCAAGATTGCAAATACATTGTGATGAAAAGAGCAAAACGATATGAAACACTGTTCTAAGGATCTCTACTATATGACACCCAAATTATCTTTGATTTTGTAACTGTTTGTTTGCAAAGTAATATTTGTGCTATTATATGTAGTCTTGATCAGAACAATATAAAGGAAAATATTATTATAAGTGTTATGTCTGAGACATTAATCGACCCCACTTGTTTGATCCACCAATCATAACTACAATCGTAATCTATTCCTTCTATGATCTAGAGTTCTTAGCCTTGACTAGTGATACAATCCAACCGACCCGACAAAACTTGAACTAATGTAAGCTTAATTCCTACTGATCCTCCGATACCCACGCCTTCTTCTGTTCCCAATTATCAATCATAAAGTAAGAGACAGCGCAAACCTACTATTATATTACAAGCGTACTTAGGTTTATGAACAAACATACCGCACTGCATGATATCATAAAGTAGAAAACTATGATGATACACAGACATGCTGATAGTGGAAGTGAAACCAGAAATGTTGTGAATAACTGACTAGCCATAAATTAGGAATAATAATACCTGTAGTAATAGTAGTTAGTTTTCCATATGGAATCTTGCAATAAACGGAAAATAGAAACAATATTCCAGTTATTGTGTAATTATTTGGCAAGAAGATACACAGTAAGACTCCATAAAACAGTTTCGAAAGTTACCATTTATTCACTCTTCGTTTTGTCACATCAATAAGAACGACATTTCATTAAAACTAAACGAATGCTTACTATATTTAGATCTATGATGGCAAGGATTGTACCGATCATCGGATAATAACAAGTTTTTTATCTATCATATCAACTCAATTAAATTGTTAATGGAACTTATTGACTTTGTGATAGATTTGATAGCCCCCCCCCATTTACTTTGACTTGCACAACTCAGTTACATCACTAATCCACACACTTTTGGTTTATTTCAAAGTTAAATACACTAATTTGCAATTCATACATGAAATAAGTAACTTACTCTAGCAATAATAAGTATAGATTTCTAGAAAACCATTGAACGAGTCACAATCATTCGTTTAATATTTCAAGGAATATTGAAAAAAATGAAATGATAAAAATAACTATGGAAATTTATCTATTACAACTTGACATTTAGTGTCCCATTTGAATATAAAACAGCGTGTATTTATCCATATGATTGTATACTGTCAATTTATCATACGTTAAATACAAGCAAATTAAACATATTAGAGAAAAATAATAAATTGAAATGGAATAGAATAAATGATTGAAACTAGACTATACGATTGTAAATTGTTTTTACTAGACTATTTTTACTTCACATTTTAGATTAGTTATTCTATGGCCCACATCACAGGCTAACGTTAGTTTAGTAACCATTGAGAACCAGCAAACACTGGATAAATGTTTCGTCCTAGTATGCGACTTCCCAGAAGTGAATATTACCGATCTAACTGGAAATCGAACCTAGAACATTTAAGCCTCACAGAGAGCGCTTGATATTTAAATCTCTCAGTCGATATCCAATCGATTCGGGATATAGTATCGCAATTTTTTCGTCGTTGGTAGATAACTATCTTACAATCGACAATTCTGGACTCTACTGGTCACAATCTCCCAAAACGACTTTAGAAATTACCTCTCAAAAGTAGTAACTGATGCATGTATTATTATTATTAGCATGAGAAGTCTGTGAAGATTTGTGAAATTTAAGATCTACATTAAGATCAAGCCCTTAGATAACCATTGGAAACCAAGATAAACTGGATAATCGTTTCATCTTAATATGAAATCAGTTCGTGAAGTAGACTATACAATTCAACAACCTCAATAAACCTCCTATACTATGACCATTAATTATCTATTATTCAACCTTCTGCTATGTTATGAGCCAATTTTGCTTTTATTTTACTTTTCCAATTCATTGAATACTATAAATTTACCTTTCTTTTTCTTTTATTTTCGGGGAAAAAAAACGGAAACCTATTGCTAGATTGAATGTTCAGTTACAATCATTACAAAAAGAAGAAGCTGAACAAACAGAGTTTATTGAACGTTTTCTTATGGGTCGTTAAATTGTTCTTGAAATTGTGTTGGTATTGTATAGTATCTTTTAAAATAATAATAATAATAAATTTTATGTACAAATATATGAATTATATCAAATTATAATTGAATTTCGTTGATAATTAGAAGTAATTTCAATAGTTGAGATCATAAGTCAATTGAAGCTAGACCATTATTGAAAACCTGGAAACACTGGATGGCCGTTTCGTCCTGTTGTGGAACTTCTCATCAGTGCTCATCTATGATCCCGCCTCGCGAGATTTGAATGAATGTGCTGACTAAGAATTTCCGAAATAGTCTTATTTAAATCAGGTACAAAGAGATGAGCATAAATGAATGTATTATATTTGGAATTCGTAATAAGCACTCAATCAAGTACAAAGGAATAATCATTTAATACAAATACTATACTTACTAATAGTGAGTAGAAGTAACTTGGTTAAAGTAATCTTCACCGAAATTTCACGAAATTTCAGTTATTGACAAAACGGCTGTTTAGTGCTTTCAGGTTTCCAATAATAGTCTAACTAAAATCAGTTCATGAGTTAGACTATAAAAATTGAAGAATCTCCACAAATCTCCCTTTATTAATATTGATCATATTATGAAAGTTAACAATAATATTTATCAGATATGGTATTCGATCTGAAGTTAATTTTTATCACATACTGACATCAGTTGGAGAATTGTTTGGATTCATGAGGGTTGTTTTATTTTAATTTCGAAACTGTTTAGTAATATTAAAAACTAGTTTAAACAATGTAGTATTCCTAGAAGTAATGAGAAATAACGTTAGAAAAACAAAATTTGCAGAATAAAATGATTTTGTTATATTTCAGTGCTACTTATCACTGACTGAAGTTTGGTTCGAAACGACACAAAAAAACAAGAAGAGCAAATAACATATTTAGTATAATAGTGTTTATATGGTGAAGATGAAGTCATATAGAAAAGGAGGAGAATTTATAAATGACTAAGGATGAAGCGGGCGTCCTGGATTCCACTGTAAGCAACTTTCTATCTGTTCCATAAAACCTATGTTATAACGGTAAGATCGAAGCACTCCACACAAGATGCACGTATGGGAACTAAGACTTATCAGAATTCCATCAAAGTACCAATAAAGAGATAATTTAAACCACTTCATACTAAATTAAGACTCATACCCGTTACATAATTGGGTTTCTATCCAGACTCTGTGGCCAAATAGATAAGACGTTGAGTGCTTGAAGGATTGATTAGAACCTTGAACTGAACACCAACTCTGAGACCAGGGTACGCTCAATTGACATGTCCTGAATTACACTGTTAGCCATATTCTATCTAATTATATAGAGACATTGAATAAAATACATCTCTGATACATGAATGATAATCAAACCGATTAGTTGACTTAAATTCAACTTAACGTCAGCAGTGAATGTCAATGAGACTTGTTTTACTTCAAAATTATAAAATAAAATAAATAGATTACGTAAATTTACCAAAGAATCAAAATGTATGGAATAATAACTTAGAGGACAAATTCGAAAGACAACTATTTAGTTTACAAAGAAGAGGAAAGTGAAAAAGAAGATAATGAATGAAACTTATGATCTGTAAAAATCAAAAGTTTCTTGAACCATAAAAAAATAGAGAACTGAACATAATCCTTTTATACACAGAGATCAGGTTTGAAGTGGTGAGTTGATATAGTCTAACTGTGTGCAAAATGTTAATTCAAACTTTCTTTAAATCAGTTCTTTTGATTTTGTCGATCTTGAACAATCATTCTTGTGATGGCAAGTGATCAGGATGAACCATATGTTCAGGGACTGAACTTTTCATTAACTTATATTCCCCTTTAGATAGCCATGCAGAGAAGTGCTTGGATATTTGTTTATCAAGTATACGCTTTGTATGAAAAATGTAACTTGATTTACAATAGTGGGTAACATTTCCTCAAATGAGGTTCTTACCGGATAAAACAATTCAGAGTTCAGCTTTATTAAAGGTCATTTACAGTGGTCTATACGGTCAGTTCTTCAGTATTTCTGCTATTGTATTAATGATTATCAGAGTCAGTCTACATCTCATAATATTAATTTCGACGGCAAGATTACTTAAAACAAAAAAATTTAACATGTACTCTAAAATGTATCAAGCGCACGTGCGTTGATGTACAGGCATCATACCATTATATAAAAATCACAGTTCATGCATAAGCGAAAGGTGGCATTGAATAGGTCAAATCGCGAGTAGATGATTAACAACAAATTAAGAATAATAAGGTAATTGCTAATGAATTAAACGGAAGCTTACAATAAATGGAATAAAGAAACATGGTATTCCAGTTATTTATTCATAATGCAATAAGAATATATATAATGATAGTCCATAAAATAGTTTCGGAAGCTGCCAGTTCTTTAATGTTCTTTCAGTCACAATGGAATGAGGATCAGGAAAATGTATGTTATGTTGATATTATTAATTCTGGCATCAAATCTAATGAACAGAAGACCATTTGGTCTAAAATGTTTGGTTTTATTATCCTTACTACTTATGAGTAGCATAAAAATATAGAAGTTGACAAGATTCAATGTTTCATTAACAATAAGAGTGATTATAAGCAAAGATGAATAGTGGCTAGCAGTGGAACCCAGGACTTGCGTCTCGTCCTGTTTGGGACTCGTTAGCTGGATTTACTCGCAACCCATAGTTGATATTTATTCTGGGACTCGAACCCACTACCATTCGTTCCAAATGCCACCGAGAAATCCACTCTTATTTTAAAGTAATCTACGGAGTCAAAGGAACTGGATCGAAGGGGGGGTCGAATCAATATTTTATACACTGCCGAGGCATTGGCAATCCATCAACTCAAGCCTGAACTTTGCGTGCAGTTATTATTATTACTTTATACAGGTTTTGTTGATTATTATTCAGTCTATTATTATGACCTTTGTGTTTGTCGCTTTTCTTCATATCTGTCAACTGAACTATTATCTGACCCATAAAAGATTTTCTTCCTTACCCCTTGACTAGTACGTAACCTCGTTTGTTATTTATCCTCGAATTCATTTTGGTGATGCAATTTTTTTCTATCCTCCTATAGACATACATTTTCCATATATATATATATATACGAATGTACAGCTTAAGTAAATGATTTCGTCCGAAAGAGAATTTTCTTCGCTAAATTCTCTTTTTCTTATTCAATTGATTGTCATAGTATATGGAATTCGGGAATCAGCTTAAAACAGGCCTCATAACGACCTTTATTTTATACACCGATGATGCATCCATACTTGGGTCAATCTATTGATGTGGTTGTTTATAACATATGTACTATGATAATTATGATAAATAATGTTCAAACAAAGGATCTTTTCAGTGAAGTTTAAAGTTTCTGTTGAAATGACGGTGAACTTTCATTTCACCAGGTGCAAATGACAGACCAGCCGGCTTCAGATTTACGATCTACAATGGTACTTCTACTTAAAATAATCCTGTGTAAGATATATCTTAATCCACCTGAGAGATCCTAGTTTGTAATGCTCAAAGGAACGATCTGTAGAGACTGACTTCAACAATCCAGCTGTTAATGGAAGAAATAAAAAGATGTTAAACGAATTGAGTGTGTGAAAGTAAATTTACAAGTAAAGCAGTGTAAATGGTATGTGACTCCTTGGAGAGTCCCAACTAGTACTCACCTAATGAATATTGCCCGATCCAACTATTTTAAAGCTGTATCCTACAAGCAAGTTTATTACATAACAATGTAGTACATATTTCTCTTCTCAATAAAGTAATAAGTGAATTACAACTGGAACTCGTTTATTTAACAATTCTCAAAACTCTTCATATCAGAGGGGAAATACGTTAGTTAACTGAAGGTGGAAAATCATAAAATACCTAGCCTTAGATTTTATATCAGTTGGCACTTGTTAGCAAAGTTTACCTGAATTCCTAAAGAAACTGTGCGGTACAATATTCAAGATTTAGGCTTAGCAATAACATTTCGTCCAGTCGCTGATGACACTTTATAATGTTTATTTTGTATTAATATTATATATATATATATATACCCATTCATCTGGCAAGTGATCTTCCCTTGGGTTACTAATAATTCCCGGACTTGCCTCAATAATACACCCTCGTGAGCAGTCATTACTCAGTCACACTTTATATAATCCACTAGTTAGCATTCTATTCATTTATTTTGACAATCAAATCTTTCATCTTTTCAGTTATTGGTAGAAAAATTTCCTCCCATGACACTGCCATTTGAACCGGTATCACTTAGCTTGATAACTTGAGATTCTACCATTGAGCGATTTAGGCGGTGACTAACTTCCTGAACGACTGATTGAGTAGTGACCAATGTCGTGTTTGTTTAGTCCTTTAGCATCGATCCAATTTTATTGAATAAACTTGGATGTGGCCACTAGTAGGGAAAATACATTAGTCTCTTAATAAATTCATCTACTAGAAAGATAATATTTAAATGTAATTGATAAGTACTAAGTTTTAAAAAGATAGTCGAGAGTATTTTTAATGTTAAAGACAAGGTAATTCAAGCGATTGTTAAAAATTATCTTACAAACTATCTTAATATTTATCAGGATTTGGGGTTGTGAAGATTCCTGAGTTTTATTAAGATCACGAACTGATCTACGTTAGGCAATCATTGACAACCTAGGAGCATCGGACAGATATTTAGTCCGAGTAAGGGACTCCTTAGCAAAGGGGCATCTATGACCTCGCCTCTAGGGAGCATCATTTAGCTTCATAGCTTCTTACACACATTTCTCACTACATTGGTTTGTAAAATATATTTCTAAAATAAATGTTTTCATCATTCTTACGAACTATTGTTGTACTATATTGTCTTTAAAAAATTAACTCTGGTGTCATGATGTCCTGAACAACTTGTTTCAATACTTATCTTAGAGAATCTATTGAACTGCATAGTGAATTCAAGTTAACATTTTGATCATTTATGACTTTGTCATTGACTGGACGGTAG